GGATAGGAAAGGTAGCAGAATACAACAGTCACTAATATGCCATTATGTAAAAATGTGAGTATGTAACAGAAGTGAGTCGGCATTATGTATTTGGGGAGTTCAAAACCCAATTGAGTCAAATGTATGAAAGATGATATATCATGAGCTCTGTAATGTTTTGAACAATCAATAAAAAAAAATGAAAAAAAATTTATCTGATCTAATAGTCTTTTGATAGAGTTTTTAGGTTTTTCTATAGATAGAACATATCATCTGCAAACAGGATAATTTGTCTTACTCCCTTCCTATTTGTTTGTGTTTTATTTCTTTCTTTTGTCCAATTACTCTAAGACTTTCAGTACTATGTTGACTAACACTGGAAAAGTGGACATCCTTGCTTTTTTCCAGATCTTAGAAAAAAGGTTTCAGCTTCTCCTCCATTCACTATGATGTTGGGTAAGGATTTGTTATATTATAGCTATTATGTTGAAATATGTTCCTTCTACAGTTAATTTGTTCAGAATTTTATCATAAAGGGATGTTGACTTGTATCAAATGCTTTTTCTGCATCAGTTGAGATTATCTAAAGATTTTTGTCCATTTTGTTGATTGGTATATTATAATGGTTGATATGTCTATGATGAACCATCCTTGCATCTCTGAGATACATTCCTCTTATGATTAATGATCTTAACGATATGCTGTTGTATTTGATTTGCTAGTATTTTGTCAAGAATTTTTGCATTTGTGCTCTTTAGAGATAATGGTCTAGAGTTCTCTCTCCTTTTTTTTTTTTTATTTATTTGGGTCCCTGTCTGGTTTTGATATCAGAGTAACACTGGCCTTGTAAAATGGAGTTGGAAGAATTCCCTCCCTTTATGATTTTTTGGAATAATTTGAGATCTGTTATTACTTCTTGGACAGTAGTTCAGGCCCATAGCTGGCAGTTGGCGGTGGGAGATGGCAGCAGGAAAACACAGTGGCAGGAACTCTGGTACCAGCTCTCAGTCCTGGTGGTGGCAAAGACCCACAGGTGGTTAGCTGCAGGGGGAGGCAATGGTAGAGAACCATAGTCTCTGCTCCGTGGTTCCTTGTGTCAGGTCTGACACAAGAATTCTTAAAAGATGGAAGAAAGAGGCAGGAAAGCAGAGAAGGACATGTGACAACAGATATAGAGGTTGGAATGATTCCCTTGATGGAAGGGACCATGAGCCAATGAATGTGGGCAGCCTCTAGAAGCTGGCAAGGCATAGATTCTCCGTCTAAAGGTACACAGCCCTACTGACACCTGACATCTTGATTTCTTTCCTGTTTTCAGATTATAACTCTCTAGAACTATAAAATAATAAATTTGTGTTGTTTTAAGCCACTAAGTTTGTGGCAATTTATTATAGCAACAATAGGAAACTAATAGAGACAGCTTTAATGAAAAATCCAAATTGGATTACCATGGGCTGAAGCTTCACCCCTCTTATATTATGATCTTATACAATAGCAGGCAAGGAGATATATGGTAAAATATATTAAATGCTACTAATTACCTGTTTGGCCTTCAGTTTGGGATTCCTTGCTAAAGAGGCCTCCGCTGACGGTTAGAATCTGTATCTTGTATTTCTTGCCTGGTGTCAGATCTTCAAATTTGTGCTGTTTGGCAGTAGCTGGCTCTGATGTGTTACTCAGAAGAATTTCATTTTCATTTAGAAGCAGGACATCATATCTTTCTGCCACACCAGCAGCTTTTTGCCAACTTACTATTAAGGAATGACTGCTGTATGCATTGTCTGCACTTAGTCCCTGGACAGATGCTGGAACTACAAAGAAACAAGAGAAGCAAGAAAACTCAGGTAATATCACTTAGGATAAAGTAATCAGTTGAGAAAAACTCTCTGAAGTCTCCTGGTAGAATACCAATGCCTCTGCTTTATTTGTGTCACATTGATTATTTCTGTGTGTCCTCTGGGAGTAAAGAGGAACGAGCATTTCTTGGCCTGAATTGTCTGAATAGCTATTTTGGTTCTCCAACAGGTAGAAAGGTTAGTGAAAGTGACACAGAAGAACACACAGAGTGATATGCATATCTGTTTCCAAAAAGAATACTGAACAAATTTTCACGCAATGAATAGTTTAGATGGCCGAACTGTCATGTTTAGACTATACTCCCAATATTAACTCATGTCAAAACTTCCAGCCTGATTTAAGCAGTAGTAAGGTGATAGTATTTGTGCTCCTGATGTGCAGGGCAAAATAATATTTTTAATAATATTTCCCATTCTAGGTTCATTTCTTTTTTCATTCTAAATAATCTCCTTAGAAGATTTAATTCATTCCCATGGTTGGAATTGTCACTCACATAATGATGACTTTCAAATTTGATGACTCCCAAACTGATGATGCTCAAATTGAATTCCTCATCTCCCTTCCCCAACTTTCTTATTTCCCTATTTTTCTACCTCTTGGCTCAAGTGAGGCACTTAGTTTGTCACTCTTACCTTCGTACAGAGAATCAAACATAAGTCTTAAAATTTCTATGTACTATATCTCATATATCTTGAGTTTATTTATTCTCTTCTTCTTAGGACAATAGCATTTCTTGCCACTGTCTCTTCCTTTGTTACTTCCATGGATTCATTCTCCCAGCACTATCATGCTGATAGCCCTTGAATAGCTCTCTGTAATTCTAAAAACACCTTACTAGGTATACAAGACTCCTCATGATTTGATCTATCTACTTACTTGGCTACATGGCTCACATTCTTATTTCTAGCATACTGAGTAGCATATGGGTCCTCAAATGTGCCATGCTTTCTCTCACCCCCAGGTCTTTGCTTTTTCTGCTGTAACTAAGTCAATTTAAACTTCACCTGGAAGAGCTAGAAGACCTCTTGATCTTGGTTGAAACATTACTTCCTACTAGAAGCCTTCACTGACTCTTCTTGTTGGTTCCCATAACACATAACACCCCATAATTTGTACAGTAATTGCCGCAGTCCAGCTGCAGCAAACTAACCGGGGGGGGGGGTGACGAGCAACTTGTGTACATTGATACAGCAGGAGTGGGAGCCGTTTATTGTAGGACAGGAGGGGTATATATACATTCCACACAGCTTATCTTAATTAACATAAACTAGATACAGCAGTCAATCAATAAAGAATCTCCACAATTAATGGCTCGCTGGCACCACCTCACAAACCACTCCCTCTGGCAAAATGCCAGGCGCCATCCCGACTTGTTTACAGACTCTAACAAGTAATCACCTGTTTACCTCTCTGTCTTCTTCACTAGATTATAAGGTTCTTGAGGTTAGTGGCTCTGTCTTTCTACTGAATCCCCACTTTCTAACATAATCCCTTGCTTGCACCAAGGTTACAGGTAGAGAGTGTAGCTCTAGATATGAACTAGAGGCAGAGGAAGGAATGGCATAAAAGCCCAGGTCCCAGAACAAAATAAGTGCTCCTGAGAATGGGAAGCATAAGAAGTGTTGCATCGCAGTAGAGGGAGCATGGAGCCAGAGGGACCTAGATTTGATTTGTAGCTCTAGGTGTCATTACATGTATCCTTGGTAATGCTTCATAAACTTTCTGAGCCTTACTCTCCTCATCTGTAGGATAGATAAATGATCTCCCTTATAGTGTGACTAGATATCATTTTAAATGTCTAGTATATTCCAGGAACTTATTTTCGTTTAAAAATACATAAAATGAGGATATTAACATAAATAAAGAGATCCATTATTCACTCATCTTATGTAAATTATACTTGTAAATTATATGTAAATTATACTTGTTCTTTAGCTATCATGGGTAAAGAAGATGGCAGAAGAACATTTTTTTCTTAAAGAACTTTGAAAGAAGGTTGAAATTTTGAAAAATGCAGTTATGAAGCCTTGTTAAAATTTTTACATTATATAGCTAGTATAAAAAATTATTCAAATGATTTGGCTTCCAATTACCTTTGATTTGTTTTGGAAATCTCTGTTAAGAAAGAAAAATGCAAAGGAAAAATGAGAAAGGCTCTTGAAACATAGTGAAGCATACAAACTTAGGTGGTTTTATAATTGGAGTTTCAACTTGTGAACAGCCAAGCCCCTTCACCAACCCTTTATGGAGAACCATGAGCGTTCTACAGTCTGGCCCTCCTCCAGGAGGGAGCTCACCTGTCCGGCCGAGTGCGTCTATCTGGTTCCTCAGCGACCCGCTGACAGAGGCAATCACAATCTGGTACTGTTCCCCCGCCTCCAGTCTGTGGAACGTGTGCTCAGAGACGTGCTTGGGGATGGTCTGAGACTCAACCTTCTGATTCTGCCTGAAGGTGGACACCACGTAGGAATCAACATCTCCGCCACCTGGGGTCCAGGTCACCGTCAGGCTATCTGTTGCTCCATTGGGAGAGATATGAATATTTTTGACAGCACTAGGAACTAAAATAAAAAAAGAAAAGAAATTTAAGAGCCATCAAGGGCGGCAGCTGTGGTTGTGAGGCACGTGCTGGGTGTCCAGGTTCCGAGAGGAAGGAGGGGGACGTTGTGCGCTGAGGAGATCGACCAACAGCGTTTCCCACAGTGTATCCTGGGGAACTAGGACCCACTGTGTCCTCAACACCGTGACCACTATAGAAGATGATCATGGGAACAGCAATAGTAGTCATGCAAAAACCTTTTTACCGAAAAAGCTGCTTGAATGTCTGCAGAAACGTTCAAGTTTACCAAAAGAGAGGCACCCTTGGAACATTAATGAGCCATCACAATGCAGCTGTCCTTTATTTTCTTTTGGATAATATGTGACCCTTCCCCTCTGGTCCCCTGACCTGCATTCCTTGGTAACTATTTCATTTGATTTCATTTTTCATTTTGGTGTACAAATTGTAACACTGCATCTCTCAAAGCACAGCATGCTTATTTCCTCAGATAGAGATACCCCTTTGCGATAAATTTGCAAAATGCTATCATTATTTTTTATAGTAAAATTCTTTTCAGTTTTATACAAATAAAAAAGTTTTTTTTTTTAAAGAGTCATAACTTAGAGAATGAACTATGGAAAATGTCAACCAAAGTTTTCAGGCAGGGCTGGGGGTGGAGCTCAGTGGTAGAACCTTGTCTAGCATGCATGAAGATCTGGGTTCTATCCCCAGTACGGAAACAAACAAATAAAAACAAATGTCATGCTTTTTATGTTTTGGCATCTACTGAAAAAGAGGACATGACAAAAAAGTATCAATTTGCCATTTTTCTCTGATTTTCCTGCTTGACCTGAAGCTGATGGGGGAAAGTTTAGAGGGAGGTCAAGGTTAATGAATGGAAATGAAGAACATTAGTAATGTAGCAAGGGGCTGGTTAGACTGCCTTACTCCAAGTCTTGGTTTACTCATTTACTAGCTGTGTGACTATAGGCAAATTAATTAATCTTTGTAAATTACAGTTTTCTTATAAGAAAAATTGTAATGATGATAATAATAACCTCCCATAGAGTTGTGAGGATTGAACAAAATGTAGATACAAAGTGCTTTGCTGTGGGTCTAGCTCATGGCCAACTGTCAATAAATATCAACTAATATAGCAACAGTCCTAAAAGAGTTCCAAAGAAGTAACAGTCAAGAGAGAGTTATTTATTAAAATATATAATATAATCTGTCTATCTCACAAACACCAGCTAGATTATCAATTCAATGTTACTTCTTTGAAAGCCTCCTCCATATCACATTTCAACTTTATTAATCCAGCTTGGACAATGTCATTGTCACTATCAAGATAACTTTCTCCCTCTTGCCATCTCCCTTCTACCACTCCAAGTTCATCGAAATACCTGGGATACCCAGTGTGTTAAATACACCACTATATCTAATCAGGTTCAAGAACAGTATCTAAGTTACCTGTTAGGCCTTCAATGAAGGCTGACTGCTGTACATCCCCACTTATCGTCAAGACGAGAATTTTATACTGGCGCCCTGGTGTTAGGGAGGTGAACCTGTACTCGGTTGCAGTATTTACTAGGTGAAAAGGAGGAAATACTTTCATGTCATTGAAGAGCAATTGAATCTCATACTGGTCAACGTCCCCATCAGCTCGTGACCAAGTCACATGCAGGTCCTCAGTGCTCCTATTCCGCAGTATTAGATCCTTAACGGGCTCTGGGACTAAGGAGAAAATGAGAAGATACTTTAGGAAAGGGACTGATTGGAGTATACCTACACAATAATTTATGAATCACATTCAAGGAACTGGCAAACATCTCTCTTCCCCAAATAAACCACTCAAGCTACTTCATGCATAATTAAACAAGAAAAATTGGAAGCAACTATTAAAATTGTGATTTTTTTTTCTTGACATAAATCCTAAATGCTACATGTTGGTAGAATATAATTATAAAATGAGTTATGATCTCAATCATAAGATAAAACATGAAGTCTAGAATTTTAATGCTATAGTGCAGGAGGACAGGGAAGAAAAATGGAACATTTGGCCTTCTTACTCCTCCACTATGCTTGCTTTTATCTACCAATAAATATTCTGTAATTATAGGCCATGACTTGGCTGGATAAAGTTAGTTTCAAGTAAGACTCAGTGGGAATGCAATTTACTAATCAGTAAGTGGAGAAAATGCGAGGCTCAGATATATTATTTACTCAGTGACCTTCCTGTCCAATCAAAAAAAAATGATTTTGCAAATTTTTCACGTACTTGTTCTTCCATTCCCTTGTTCGCTGGCTTCATATTGGCCGCTTACTGTACTAACGGTGACACTGTACAACCGTCCAGGGACTAGCTGAACAAATATACACTCATTTTCCGACTTGGGAATGCTCTTGGTTTGAATGAAGTTGTTTTTGTTTTTGATGGTGACTTCATAGTGATCAAAGTCTCCAGTGGCATGCACCCAGGATACCTTTAGGTAGTCACTCCTGGCCGAGTTGCTAACACTGACTCCTTGGACCTTGTCAGGCACTGAAACAGAGAACAGCGAAAGACTTAGTGATTCTGAGTAAGCAATTGATCAGATCAATTTGGGACAATAAAATAAAGTGACTAGGGGCTGGGGATGTGGCTCAAGTGGTAGCGCGCTCGCCTGGCATGTGTGCGGCCCGGGTTCGATTCTCAGCACCACATACCAACAAAGATGTTGTGTCTGCCAAAAACTAAAAATAAATATTAAAATTCTCTCTCTCTCTCTCCCCTCTCTCTTTAAAAAAAAATTTAAAAAAATAAAAAATAAATAAAGTGACTAGATTTTTACTGTATGCATTTAAAAGAAAAATCTTAGACCTCTTGATCATGAATCTCAAGGGGAAAGACTGTTATGCCCAGTGGGGTGATTAAATGGATCTTTTAACATAACCTGATGAACACATTCTAATCCTCTTGTTTGCCTATACAAAATGCTACTTATAAGATTGGATAATGATTTATTGTGCATACACAGTGAAACATGTCATGATTAATGTCTTCTATTTAATTTAAAACACAAAGGTGTAGCTTTCTTGCCTTTAACATCAAGACACAAAATATGAATGAATCTTATAAATATAATACATGAAAAAATCTAAGTCCCTAAAAGATTACATACTGTATTTTACAGTGTTAAAGACACTAAAATTTTAAAACTCATAGAATTAGAACTGTATATAGATGCAATAAAACTATATAAGATGGAAGTAAGTGAGATGTAAATGTGAGTTAAGATACTGGTTACCTTGGAATGGATTAATGGGGTGGAAGCCACATGATTTGATACAGATCATTGTCAAAGTCCTAGCTTTCAACTTTTGTAGTAGTTTCTCATGTACATCTCAAATTATAAAACATTATTAACTAAATGCCAAAAAAATAAACATGACTGAGGAGGTAGCTCAAGGGTAGAGTGCTTGCCTAGCATGTACAAGGCTGTGGGTTCAATTCCTAGAACCATGACAAAGAAAAAAAAATAATGACAGTTGATGCATGTTTTTCTGAGTCAAGAATTATAATTAATGCTATTCTGTGTATCTGAATCTCCACAATAAATTCATAAGCAAACATAGTTTTTCCCCTCAATCAATGAATAGATAAATGCATATTACTAGGAACACTGTAAATAAGGCACTATGGTATTTAAAGCATGATATTAAGGATATTCTCATTTTTTCATTTGGAGTTGAATTTTTCTTTAATAGTAGATCACAGATTCATTTCTATCTGGCTATAACCAGACATTATAAATATTCATGAGAAGGGGCATTGAAAAGAGGCATAAACTTAGGTCCAGCATACTAAACTTATGTCCCAATTTTATCATGTCCTCTAGGCCTGTAAAACCTCTGTATGTGGCTTGGTATACATTAAAGGATTTTTGCTTTGACCACATGCCAAACTGTGTTCAAATATTCTATTTTTTCCCCAAATCATAAAATGATCCAGAAACTTCTGTATTTTGGTATCTAAGCTATATTTTTTCATGATGCTTTTCACACTTAAAAACTGCATTAACATCCTTTGTTGGATTATATTTACTGTTTAGTTTTATATTAGAACATAGCTCACCACAGATATACAGCAAGGACAGGTATGCTATGACATTCACCTCAAGCCAGTTACACTGTTGCTAGAATTTGGTCTCACCAGAGTTAAGGTGAAATTCTGAATTGACACTGTATGGGTGAGCTAAGAAAGGTCAATGATCCAGGCAATTTACTGAAGGCGAAGCAATTATTACAGGAAGAAAAACTAGGCTGAATACCATGCTAAGTCAATAAGGTGCTCTCCAGGTGGAACAAGAGGTAATTTGTGAGAAGAGCTTTGATGCACGATGAGATGATGAGATACAGAACTAGAAATATTGGTATTTTCACTCAAAATGTAGGAGAAGGGCATTAGGAAAGGAAAAGGGAATTAAGATAACCAGGCAAAATCAACAAGACAACAACTCTGACATGACTTTCCAGTTAGAATCATTTGCCTCCATTAGTCATGCACCAAATTCAAGCTCATGCTGTTCAGAGTCAAGAGAGTGCTTTGAATCGAGGATCACTTTTCTTACACTTAGAAGCACTCTTAGCAAAAAGCATTGCAATGTTAATGTCAAAGGGATAGGGAATGCTCATGAATGAACTGGTTTTTGTAGGGAGCAAGGGGTTAGAAGTTGGGTGACAATCTTCTTTAATTTCTAGTGATTTTTAGGATCTGAGTTAATAGGAGACAGTAACATAAGATTACTTTGTGGGAAAAAAATCAGCTTTTCAGGTCTAAGCCATCATTGTGATTATCAGAATGATTAGACTTCAAATGATGTGAGGGTAGGAATAACCTCTTTATATGCCCACGAGAGCTCTCAGGTATGACATGATGTAATGGCGGAACTCCGATACTGGTCACAGCCATGTGACCTTGGAGAAGTCACATTTTCTCTCTGGGATTTTATCTTTGGATAAGAAGATGGGATTACATCATTCGAAGGACACATTTAATGCTAGTTTTCTGGTAACAAAGTAAATCCATGGTTCTTTACTATGAAACCTGATACTAACCAGGAACTCTCTCCTCAGATAAATGCACATATCCTTCTTATCCCCAACAATTTCATGAGTTACTACACTTCTAAAGTCCACCCAGGGCCACCAGGTGAAACCCCCGATCTAAGTGATTTCTGATTTATTAGTTCAACAAATACTTATTGAGTGCCTACCAGGCCCTGGACTCTGTGCCAGGTAACAGGATGATGCCCATTGTCCCAGATCCTCATGGAGAAAGAGAATTTTTAAATGTGAAAATCAACCCAGAGCTCAGTAGAAAAGATTTGACAAAATAGTGACGTCAACCTTAAGCAAAAACTCAGATGTAAACCCCAGAAAGCCTAAATATATTGGGAAAACGGTAGCTGTCTATATTTAGTTCTTTCTAGCACATGAAAGACCTGACATTCATTTGCTAAGATTTCTGCTCCCTAGTCTCAGAACTATAAAGGTTCACATTTTCACCTTCTGTGAGAAAGGATGAATAGTTGTCTTGACCAACAGACACTTCAGAAAGGATTTTAGGACACAGAGCTTTATAGGCTCTAGAGTCAATCAGAACAAGGTTTAAATCCAGGATCTAAAACTTAGTGGCTGTTTAACAAGGTAAACAGTTGGACAAGTTACTTAACCTTCCCTGAACCTTGGTTTCCTGATCTATAAAATGGGAATCCTAACAACTGCCTCAAGAAGGAGTCTCTAAGGATGAGTTAACATATATAAACCAGGTCATTGCAACTAAAAATACTCCCTAAATAGAAATACTTGTTAAACGATTTGAATAGAATGTGAATTCTAACAAAAATTTTGTTTATCTTCCTCTAAAGGTCATATCTACTCACAGAAGGAGTTTCTTGAGTTAAAATCCAAATTCTCCATAAGGAGTTTGTGATCTCAATTGCCTTTCATCCTAGCATGACAGGACTGTCACAGCTCTGTGATGCCCTGAGCCATGTAACCTGTTGGTTCTTATGGAGCCCTGTACCTTCACACTCCCTTACCTGTCCGCTCTTGGCTGAAGGAATGATTCTCATACTTGCCACTCCTTGTAGTTATGGTCACATTGTAGAGGCGGCCTGGGGTGAGGGAGCTGAAGGAACACTCACTGACAGACTTGGCAATGACCAGGGACTGAAGCACCCTGCTGTCGTGGGAGAGGGTCACCACATAGTTATCCACATCTCCAGGCGCTGGCAGCCAGGAAACACTGAGGTAGTCATTACGACCTGAATTGTTCACCGTCATGCCACTCACACTGGAAGGGACTGTAATTTTAAAAGGGGAGAAAATTTAAAAAGGAAAATGATCAAAAGTCCAAGTCATCTATGTGGTCAGCAGAAACCATGAACTGAGGAGAGCTAATGTGATTACAGAAGAGGTCAAGGAAGTGTGAGGATTTTACTTTAGCTTCTAGCAGCTGAGTGCTCCTACGTCAGAAGGCTAACCAAAATAAAAATGCAAGGAAACTTTCCGATGCCTCATAAATACAAGGATGCCTCTACTGCACTTTTATGGGGTTGCCGTGTGTACAGTATTGTCAGTGGAGGCATTTTTATGTGAATGTGGTAAGAAGTCCCCTATAGGAAAGGGAACAGACATTTCAACAATCCAAATGAATCAACCTGAACCAAACTCTTCACTAAAGCACAGATGTTTGAGGGAAAAGGTGGAGAATGAACAGCTTTTCTCAAGTGTGTAGGTTTTGGGATACCTTCAATCTTCATATGAAGAAATCATTTATTCCTGGGGAGTTTGACAGCTAACATAACCGGGGCTGGGGAGGGTGGTGGTGGTGGTGGTGGTACTGTGTTCTCCCTTTGCAAAGCATTTCCTGCCCTCTAGTGGCAAGATATAAGCCTCAAAGCCTACTCTGGATGCAGTAAGTCTAGAAACTGGACCAAATGTGGGCATACAGCTGTGATGGAGACAATCTTTCTGGAAAGGTGTCAACTCTAATCGTTTCCTTATGTCATTTGGGGACCAAACACCACAAACTTTTACTGAAAACCTAATATTTGTCAAGTATATGAAAATAGAAAGTGTGGATACCTTCAAGGCGCTTCCTGACTAGAAGTAGACAGATGGTAAATTAGTAACCATGGTACGAAATAACGTTTGTGCTATGTATCAGAAGTAAGTGTTAGTAAATAGTACTGCCATTAGTGAATACCAGAACAAAATCCCACAGAATATATGAACTGCACTACTGTTTTCATCATTAATTGATTAACCTCAGCTCAATATTTTTATGTAATTGTCAATATACCAGAATATGGCATATAAAGGCGGGATTTGACTTCCGAGAATCCTTCTAATTTTTCTGTTATTTGTGAGTTAAGCCCCAAAGCCTACTTACATAAAAAATTATATACACCTTACTGAACAACTTTGCTAATGTTGATCCATGTATATGGACACTTCCTAGCTACTAAGATAAACTTAACTCAGTCTGTCTTTAGGATGTTTAAATAATTCTGTGATGGGGGGCTATGGACTCAGATTTTCGTAAGCTATAAATACAAACATGTTGCATCTTACCTGTTCTTCCTTCCACCACCACTTGTCGGGAGGAGATCCCTCCACTCACTGTTGTTACCACCACGGAGTAAAGGCTGCCCGATTTCAGAGAGTGGAAGCTGTATTTGTTGGTCTCACTGGGAACACTTTCATTTTTGATGACCACATTTTCATGAATCAGTAAGACTTGGTAGAATTCTATGTCTCCCAGGGCCTCAGTCCAGTTGGTAAATAGACTACTGGTCATCCCTTGGTTGGTCACATGCAGGCTAGTTACTTGGGCAGGTACTAAAACACAGTAGACCAAAGACAAAATAAATGACAATTAGTTACTCTAAGGAACTGTAATTAAAGTGGGCCAAAAAATGGAGACAGACTTGAAAGCACTAAAAATGAGTTTGTTTGTTTTAGCTATAGATCCTCAGCTCTACTTCCTATGGCAAAAAAAAAGTGGTTTAGATAGGAAATAAAAATTATTTAGGATGCAAGGATGAGATGCTTACTTGCTAAACCATTTGATTTTAAATTTTAAATAGTGAAGGCTGCTGTATTTGAAGGCTTCTTCTTAAAATCTTCTTAAAATTTATTCTAATTAGTTATACATGACAGTAGAATGCATTTTGACATATCATACATAAATGGAGTATAACTTCTCATTCTTCTGGTTGTACATGATGCAAGGCTTCTATGCTTTTCTCTTTTCTTAACCCATGAGAACTCAAAGCCATGGGATCACTCTAAGCCAAGGGTTAATATAGGTGGTATTAGAAAATCCTTTCAACCCAGTAATTACATTACCGTTTAGCAAACTGATTGCTTCTTTACTGGCACATTCTCAGATCTATTATTATTATACCCCAAAATCCTACAATAATATAAACCACACTATTATATATTAAAATAATGTTAATTTGAAGTCTACCAAATTATGCAATGTCCATGTATGAACATATATATAAATTTATATGTGCTCATTAAAATAATGATGATGATTATAACAACTATTGAATATCTACCATGTGCCAGTTATAGGCTGAATGTATTATAGAGGTTGTATTATTTGATAGCTCATTCAAAACACTATAAAGTTGGTTCTCTTTACTAATGAGAAAACCAAAGAGCATTAAATGTAAGTTTTAAAGTTTTTATCACACAGTGTTGACAAATAATAAACCTGGGGTTCAAGGCTAGATCTGTCTAACCCCTAAACTTTTGACCCTTTTCTAATTAGCAATTATCATTGCTTTCTACCTATCCATTAGCAAATCTTTTACACAGATATTGAAGTTGGCACTCTATTGAGAGATGTTTTTATTTGTTCTTCTTCCTTAAATTATAATAATCAAAGAGATCAAAACTCTAGCACACTCCTTCTCAAAGTTCACTAAGATACAAACATATTCAATAAAAATGCTACTATAATATGGATCCGAAGTTCCTTTCCAATTTGAAATTTCATATGGCAAGCAAAGGAACTACAATACCAAAACAATTTTGAAATAGGGAACAAAGTTGGAGGACTAATATCACCCAGTTTCACTAGAAAGCTAAATGAATCAAGATAGCATGACTGGCAAGAGGCAGAAACAAAACTTGATGGTGCAGAACTGAAAGTTCAAAATAGACCAATGGTGGGGGAAGTATATGTATGTAAAAATGTACACATTTATGTATATACATATATGCAGTTATATGTATATGTATTTGTATGTATATATGTATATATATGTATATACAAATATATATACGTATGTCTGCATATATGTATATACATTTGTATATATTAGTCGATTTGTTTTACAGAGATTCAAAGGCAATTTAGTGGAGAAAGTCCAGTCTTTTCAACAAATAGTTCTGCAATTATTAGATACATTATTTTCTTAGAAATTATTTCATTTCCTATACAAATAAATGAAACCTCAATCCATATTTCATACCATATATAAAAATTAACTCAAAATGGTTCATAAACCTACATTTAAAGTATAAACTATAAATCTTCTAGGGAAAAAAATCTTTGTGATCTTATGTTAAGCAAAGGTTTTTTTTTAGTTGGACACCAAATGCATGATCTATAAGAGAACCAATCAATGGGAGACCAAAATTAAACACTTCTATTTAGTAAACGACACTTGTAAAATCACGAAGAAACAAGCCACAGACCGGAAGGAAGCATTTTCAACACATATTTCTGACATAAGACTTGTGTCTAGGACAAAGAACTCTTAACATTCAATGATAGGGCTGGGGTTGTGGCTCAATGGTACAGCACTTGCCTTGTATGTGTGAGGCACTGGGTTCGATTCTCAGCACCATATATAAATAAATGAATAAATTAAAGATCCACGAACAACTAACAAAAATAAAATTTAAAAAAAAACCCTCAATGATAAGGAAACAAAAAAATCCGTATTGAAAAGCAGGTAAAACATTTGAACTGAAACTTTCCCAAAGAAGATAAACAGAGGTGAATAAGCATACAAAAGGATTCACAAAGCCCTTAGGAATTATGAAAGGGCAAATTAAAACCACGTGTGATACCAGGGACCTACTAGAATGGCTTAATTTTAAAACAAACAAATGAAGTGACAAAACCTAGTACTGCTGAGGATGTGGAGGAACGGGAATGCTCATACATTGCTGATGGGAATGTAAAATTTGACAGCGTAGCTGGGCATGGTGGCACAGGCCTGTAGTCCCAGCTATTCAGGAGGCTGAGGCAGGAGGATTGCTTAAGTTCGAGAGTTCAAGGCCAGCCTGGGCAGCATAGCTAATCACACACACACACACACACACACACACACACACATATGTAAGGGGTGGAGTCTTGGGGAAGTAATAGGATCTTGGGGGCTCTGAGCTCATCAATAGATTAATCCATTGATGGATTCATAATTGAATGGACTATTGGGAGGTGGTGGAAACTACAGGAAGTAGGGCTTTGTTCAAGGAAGTAGGTCACAAGGGGAGTGCCCTGGAAGGATACATCTTGTCCCTGGCCCCTTTCTTGTCCTCTCTCTTTGCTTCCTGGCTGCCATGAGGTGAGTACTTCTTGCCATAATAATCTGCCTTGCCAAAGGATCACAGCAATGGAGCCAAATGACAATGGACTGAAAAATAAATCTTTCTAGATTTATGTTGATTTTCTCAGGTATTTTGTCACAGTGACGAAAATCTAACACATTTCTGTGTACCATACTCTCTTCTCAGTGTTGCCCTATTTCTTTGCTCTGTTTTGTTTCAATTTTAACAAAAATAAACCCAAGCAAAACAGAAAGAAAGGAATAATGAAGATAAGAGTTGAATTTGGTAAAATAGCAAACACATTAGAAATCCATAAAACATGGTACTTAATGAACATTTGTAAATTGAATGTTAAATAATTCATCAAACAGTACATTGAACCAGATGTATAAATAATCTTTATACATCTAAGATGTATAAAGATTATTACCTGTTCTTCCTTTTATTGAAGAGGAATTTTTTAAGTCTCCACTAATACTGGTGACTGTAGCTGTGTATTTTCGTCCAGGTACCAGATCAGTAAAAGTGAATTCTTTGGCATCTTTGGAGAGCGACTTGTGGATGAGTAAGAGGTCTCTGTCGGCTAGAGAGATGATGTATTTCTCCCACTCTGCAGCAGGGGTCTGCCACATGATGCCCAGTGAAGTTTCATTAGCATGTTTGACCCGAAGCTGAAGGACAGCCAGGGGAACTGAGGAAAAAGTAACGATGGGGTGAGTCATTGATTAGCTCAGATGCACACACAGAGTATTTTTTAAGGAACTGTTCTCTTCCAACCTCAAGAGTTCTGGTTCAACATTTCTATTCTGAATACTTAAGCACTTTAGAATAAAAAAGGTTTACCACAAAAACTCTGCCATGTAACATAACCAGAAATAAAAATTCAAAAAAATATTGTTGGACAACACCTACTGGATCACTTATTTTTGATCTTAGGTAACTCAATTAGAGTTTATCTCTTCCTATGTATTTTGTGATACAAAAATATTTAATACAATCCTGTCATCCACAAAACCATCAAGAAAAATCTATGAGTATTTAGGTGGAGTGAAACATGTGTTAACCCCACAGTTTTGAAAGAACAAATGCTTAAGCCATTTAAGTCTCGAATTCAGTGAAAACTGGGATATGACATTGGCAGTTTGCTGGGTTACTTGGGAAGGAGAGGATATATCCACGAGTCATGAACACCTTCATATTTGCTTACCTGTCCTGCCTTGGCAACGTTCAGAATTCTTCATATTTCCACTCTCAACGATGACTTCTACCTCATACTGTCTTCCGGGTATGAGACCCACACCATCCATGACATACTGTGTTTCCTCCTTTCCCACAGTGGTGTTGAGCAGTGCTACAGAGTCATTGAAGAGCAGGATACGATACTGCTCCCAGTCTCCAGCAGGGGGCGACCAGCTCACCACGAGGGACCTCATCCAACCATTGTTGTTTGCCTCTAGGTCCCTAACCTTGTCTGGAACTGAACAATGAAATGTCAAGAAGAAGGTGTTAAAAACCTAAGAAAGAATATTCATTTGCCTTTCATGGGTAACAGTAGATGGGACACACAATATTTGCAGTTCTAAAGACTGCTATCCCCTCTTGATGACCGTGGAGGACAAGGGAGTATTCCTTTTTCATTCTGGAAACATCTGACACTCAAGAAATGTATGCTAAAATCATTTTAGTAAATTAACAGGTATGCAGTCTTCTGGAACACTATTAACAATAGAGGGATATGGATGCCGTTTTTTATTGATTACATGCTTTCCCTAGAGAAAATAATGACATTGCATCTAATGATGGTGACATTGACAGATGTGGCATCTTCTGGAAGAGGTACTGGATATTGTGGTCATGAAATGTTCCTCTTTTCCAAATGAAAAGAATAATATTCTTGAAATATAGCTCTGATCATATTATTCCTTTGCTTCTAAACACTCAAGTTTTCTTTAAAAAATTACAGAATAAAATGTCAAGTGCTTCACTTGCATTTGTGGCTCTTCAAGTTCAGAACTCATATCCCCCCTGTCTTAACTGTGAAAATTCCCTGCAGCTACTCTTCCTCCTTCCAGCTGTGAACTCTACATCTGTGTGATTAAAATGCAGCCTCTTTTAAGCAAAGGTTGGGCCAGATGGTAAATACTTCAGGCTTTGCAGGTCACATATGGTATCTCATATTTTTCTTGGTGTTTTTTGTTTGTTTCTACAATCCTCTAAATATATAAAAACCACTCATTAGCTTGGGGCAAGACAAAAACAAGCCATCAATCAGACTTGACCACAGGGAATAGTTTGCATGCAGAACCCTGCCTTAAAGGCAAATGTCTCAAACATTTTAACAATAATATAGCCATTTGCTCATATAAAGAACTGCATACATGCCATAAATTACTAAATTTATGGAAAACACGTTTAAGTGCTAAGTGGTCCTCATTATAAGAATGGATCAGAAGTGTCTTTTTTTTTACTGATATCAATGTTAATGTATTTAAGTTACTCAAGTGACTGACATGAAAAAAGCATAGGACAGTGAAAATAGGCAGATCATTCAGGAATCCAAATACATTTGCTTAAATTACTCAAAAAATGCATTTAGCCTCTGCTTTACTCTGTCTGTTGGACCCTGGCCCACAGACACTCCCAGTCATGTAGCTCCTACTTCCTAGGTAGGAGAAGGAGCTTCCCTCCTTTTTTATTTTGTCTTATTTTTTCTTATTCTAAGATGAATCAGAAGAGGACTTGGGCAATAAAGGGAAATTCTGGAGCCCAAGACTCACCTGTTCTGCCCATTATCATCTTCTGAGCAGAGAGTTCACCAGAAATACAGCTGATAGTAACTTGATAAAGTCGTCCAGGAGCTAAGTCTTTAAAGTGAGTTTCAATGACCTGAGGTGCTAATACTCTGGATTCCTTGATGGTCCCTTGGTGAGACAGGGTCACATTGTAGAAATTCACATCTCCAAGAGGTCTTTGCCATTTGACTTTTAGAGAGGTCAAACTGCCATCATTTGTCACCTTCAAATTTGAGACTTCCATGGGAGCTAATTAGCAAAGAATGGAAAAGAGATTTTACTCAGGATATCTTACCATTCCTGTGGCTAAATTCTGACCCATATTGTAGTTCCTGCAAGGCATACTCCTTGATCAGAAGAAAACAACTGCTTTGAGAGACAAAAATAATACTGTAAACACAATGAAGGCAACCTCATGGCAAGAGCACAACCTGGCAGTCAGGAGGCTGCATTCTGGCTGGGACTTGGCCAGCTCTCCTCAGGATTCCGGACAGCTCTCTCTCTGCATCTAGTGTTCCTTGCTGGTAAATAAATCCTGGTCCTAAAATAGTTCTGTCCAGCTCTGAAATTTTTTAATGCAGTCTTCTGAAACACTATTAACAATAGAGGTCTATCGTTTGATTAATTTCTTCTCATCAATAATATCCAGTACTTAATAAACAGGTTGATCCATGGATTGGTGTATTTTTTTTTTTTTTACCTCTTGCACATGCTATAATTTTGGATATGGTTTCATTAAGAATGAGTATACTATTCAACAAATGGTGCTGGAAAAACTGGAAATCCATATGTAGTAAAATGAAATTAAACCTCTATCTCTCACCCTGCACAAAAATCAACTCAAAGTGGATCAAAGACTTAGGCACTAGAATAGAGACCCTGCACCTAATAGAAGAGAAAGTAGGCCCAAATCTTCACCATATCCTTCACCTAGGATATAATTTCCTTAACAAGACCCCTAAAGCACAAGAAGTAAAATCAAGGATCAATAAACGGAATCGACTCAAATTAAAAATATTCTTCTCAGCAAAGAAAACAATAATGTGAGAAGAGAGCCTACAGATTGGAGACAATCTTTACCACGTGCACCTCCGATAAAGCATTAATCCTACTCTAGTCAGAATGGCAGCTATTAAGAACACAAACAACAAGTCTTTGCTAGGATGTGGGGGAAAAGGCATACTGATACATTGCTGGTGATACTGCAAATTGGTGTAGTCAATATGGAAAGCAGTACGGAGAATCCTTGGAAAATTTGGAATGGAACCACCATTTGACCCAGCTATCCCACTCCTCCATCTATACCCAAAGGACTTAAAAACAGCCTACTTCAGAGACACAGCCACATTAATGTTTATAACAGCACAATTTACAACAGGTAATTGTGGAACCAACCTAGATTCCCTTCAGTAGATGAATGGCTAAAGAAACTGTGGTATATATACACAGTGGAATATTATTCAGCATTAAAAGAGAATGAAATCATGGCATTTGCAGGTAAATGGATAGAGTTAGAGAATATAATGCTAAGTGAAGTTAGCCAATCCCCAAAAAACCAAAGGCAAAATGTTTTCTCTGATTTAAGGATGCTGATTCATCATGGGGGAGGCATGGGAGGATTAGATGAACTCTAAATAAGGCAAAGGGGAAAGGGGGAAGGAGGTGAAGGGAGGGGTAATGAGGTAGGGAAGATGGTGGAATGAGGTAGGGAAGATGGTGAAATGAGGTAGGGAAGATGGTGGAATGAGGTAGGGAAGATGGTGGAATGAGATGGACATATATTATAAATACATGTATGAAGACAAGAATGGTATGACTCACTTTGTGTACAACCAGAGATATGAAAAATAGTACTCTATATGTGTAACATGAATTATAATGCATTCTGCTGTCATTCTATATGACAAAATAAAATAAACTGAAAGCAAAATAAAACAACAACAAAAAAATCTTAACACCAAAAAACAAATAACCCAATCAATAAATGGGAAAAGGAACTGAACAGACACTTCACAGAAGAAGAAATACAACCAATCAACAAATATATGAAAAAGTGTTTAACATCTCTGGCATTTAGAGAAATGCAAATCAAAACTACACTAAGATTTCATCTCACTCCAGTCAGAATGGCAATCATCAAGAATATTGACAACAATAAATGTTGACAAGGATGTGGGAAAAATAGTACACTCATACATTGCTGATGGGACTGCATGTTGGTACAACCATTATGGGAAGCTGTATGGAGATTCCTCAGAAAACTTGGAATGGAACCATCATTTGACCCAGCTATCCCACAGCTTGGTTTACACCCAACGGACTTAAAATCAACATACTGTAGTAATGCAGCCATGTTAATGTTTATAGCAGCTCAATTCACAATAGCTAAACTATGGAACCAACATAGGTGTCCTTCAATAGATTAATGTATAAAGAAAATGTGGTATATTTATTTAATGGAATATTACTCAGTTTTAAAGAAGAATGAAATTATGGCATTTGCCAGTAAATGGATGGAGTTGGAGAATATCATGCTAAGCAAAATAAGTCAACCCCAAAACACTAAAGGCCAAATGTTTTCTCGAATATCCGGATACTAATTCACAATAAGGGGCACAGGACACTAGAGGTGAATAGAGTTACCTTAGATTAGGTGGAGACAAGTGAAAGGAGGGCAGAGGAGGGAATGTGGGGATAGGAAGGATAGTAAAACAAATCAGACATTATTACTTTATGACTTCATGACCAATGTGATTCTTTAACATGTACACTCAGAAAAAATATGAAATTATATCCCATCTATGTATGATATATCAAAGTGCATAAATGCATTCTATTGTTATGTAATTAAGACAAATTACAAAATAAAAAAAAGAATGGGCATGGCATACTGACTTTGCAAGGGCAGAAGTACAATTTGTTTTTATCTCCATAAGTAGTTCTTAAGATATATGGTATTTTTTTCAAAAATGTCTATTTATCTTTGAAATATGCTATAAAACTATATAAATGTACAGGTGTCTCTAGTATCTTTCCCACCAGCTTCTTATAGTTTCAGAAACTTTCTTCATAGAAGTAATTTCCAAGTAACTAAATAATTTTAGATTTTTATCTTAAAATTAGACAATTGATGGAGAGGGGGGATTTATTAACACATCAGATCCTCTAGAAGCATTTTAATTTACTTCAAGCATTTGAATGTGAGCTCCATCAGGGCAACGATTGCCTGTCTTAGATGTTATTATGATCAGTGATGCCTAGCAGTTACAATCAATAAATATTGGTTGGGTGAATGAAAGAACTATTAATACTTGGCACAGATTATTTGATCAGTCTAGAGTAGCTGGGAAACTATGTCCTGTGGTGTTGAGTCCTAGGGTAGGTATTTGTGGATAAAGGGTTTCGGAAGTGACTTTCACTTGGAAGTAGGACTATATGTGACACTGAGAGAAGGAATCCTGCTTCAGTGTGAGTAATGTCACAAAGACATAGGTGCTTGCTTCAGAGACAGAAGCAGGAATCCTTAGGGAGGAGATGGGTGCACTAAAAAGAAAAACTGGGACTGTATCAGCTTTGTTTCCTTCAAAATGTTGCCAAGGACAACCCTCAACATTAGAATAAAAGCTACTCCTTCATTTTTCTACATAGAAAAGTAGATATATATGAAAGTCTTTTTATAACTTACACGAATTTCAATTTTTCCTATACTATTGTTATTCAAATAACTTAATAAACTTGATTAAAACTTGATGTGACTTTTATTCTTGTTCAACTAGAGAAGGGGTACTTACCTGTCCTGACTAATTTCCACCTGTGGTTCTTCAGTCCTGCAGCCATAGTCACAATAGTGAGGTTGTAGAGGTGGCCAGGTATCAGCCCATGAAAAGTATAGGAGGTATCGCTTTTGTCCACAATACTGTCATGAACTAGGATCCCTTTATCCATTAGCATCAGCCTGTATTGTTCCACATTTCCAGAACCATGGGACCAGGAAATCAGGAGAGAATTAGTTTTTGATGAAATACCAATATCTTTCACTGGAGATGGCACTAGTGGGACAAAACGCATGTCCAAAATGTCATTCATAATGCCCTTAGAGAAGACATAGACACATTTAATAAGAAATCACATATTCACTAATGCTTTGGGTATATCTTAACTTGTATAACAGCAATAATAAATAATAGCACTCTGGAATTCATGGGACCTTGATTAATGCTCTTCAAAGTCTACAGCCTAAAGCTACATCATCGGTGACTTGTCTATCTCACCTATTTAATAGGTATCAAGGTAGTTTTTGCCAATGAAGTACATCATGGCACAGCAGTAAGTGGAAGAGACAAAGGAAAGAAGCAGAGGAGATCAAAAGCGGAAAGAGAGGGAGATAAAACAAGAGAGAATGAATGAGGGAAGAGTGGGTGGTATGAAAGACATGTACTTTCTGGAAGGAGGTGATAAACAGCTGTGGACACCATGTGGGTACACTCCATGTCTTACTTCTCCCCACATCACGGAAGCAAAGATTTGTTTCAGACATAGGGACACGCAGAACACATCATGACTTGATGTTATTTAAGAAGAATACACAAAGGAGAACAACATTTACAAAACAAGTTTTATGGCACAAACAGAAAATAAGGCAGAAAATCCTGTTGCCTGGAGTTTGAATTGGAGGAGGTAGAAGGGAACATCTCCATTTTAAACTAGAGAATAAACCCAAATCAGAGAAGTTTCATCACTTATTCAAGTTTTCCCAACAAGCCAGCATCACAGTCACACATCCTATATTCAGTCTGGTCTTTCCATCACACTACCTCCTTTCAAAGGGCTAGTTAGTTCATTTATTTATGATCTGAAGAGCATTCTCATCCCCATTCCTTGAATAAATTTTAACCTCAAATGCATCATAGACTATGAACTATGGACAATACAGGTCTTACCTGTTGACCCATTGGTATAAACTGTAGAGGAACGTTTCTCTCCAGAGACAGCTGTGATGGCAACATTATAATAATTACCAGCAGTGAGGTTTAAAAATGTGTGTTCATTCCGTGATGTACTTCCTTGAATTTGGACACCTTGCATCTTTTGGTTATTATCATCTAATAACTGCACCTCATACCAGGTGACTTTTCCAGGAGATGGAGTCCACCAAACATGCAGGCTGGTTGAAGTAGTCTTCTCTTTACTGACTCCAAACCTAGCAGGAGGTAAAGGATCTGCAGGACAAACACCAAGAAAGAGAACACAGCTTGAAGATTTCCTCCAATAACTGCTTTATATTGCTGTAATCTAGATTCATCTTCATTAAAAATATTAAATAATCTTCTGCCTGCAAAACACATTGTCATTTTGCTTCACTTTCAACTATATCATTTCATTTAAAAAAAAAAACCTTACTGAGTTATCAGTCATATAAATTTCTTTTTCCAAAAAAACTCTTTTGTTAAGGTAGCTCTGATTTTGAAAGTTTAAGCAAGGTTATATTTTCTTTGGTTTTCAGGCTTAGCAACCTTTTCAAGTATTGACAAATACCCATACTAAAGATCTGAATAGAAAATGTAGATATTATTGGTGGGAATGTAAATTACTATAGTGACTATGGAAAACCATTATGGGTACTCCTCTAAGAACTAAAATAATAGAGCTACCATATGATCCAGCTATACCACTCCTGGGTATGTACATGATGGGAATAAAATCATCATACAAAAGAGATATATGCACACCCATGTTTCTTACAGCACTATTCACAACAGACAAGTTATGGAAACAGCCAAGATGCCTGACAACAGATGAATGGATAAAGCAAATATGGTATATACACAGTGGAATATTATTTAGCTATAAAGAAGAATGAAATTATACCATTTGCAGGAAAATGGAGGCCACCATATTAAATGAAAAAAGACAGACACAGAGAGACAAGTATTGCATTTTTCTCTCTCTCATATATGAAAACTTAAAAAAAAAAAAGAAAGAAAGAAAGAAAAGAAAAGATGACCTGAAAGTAGAAGAGGGACTCTTAGGGAAGGGGAAGAGGACTCAGTGGAAGGGGAAGAGGACTCAGTGGAAGGGGAGAAAGGGGAGGGCAAGTGAGAATAGTAAGGAGGGTGGATGTGATTAAAACATAATATATGGTGGGGGGATAGTAGATGATAGGTTAGAGAGCAGAATTCATCAGACACTAGAATGGCAATGTGTAAATCAATGGAAATGTAACTGATGTAACCGATATGATTCAGCAATCTGTATACGGGGTAATAATGGAAGTTCATAACCATTCTGAATCAAATTGTGAAACATGATATATTAAGAAAGATGTAATGTTTTGAACGACCAACAATAAAAAACAAAACAAAACAAAACAAAACAAAAAAAAACATAATATATGAATGTATGGAAATGTCAGAGTGAAACCCATTGATTTGTATAATGAATCATAACATTTATAATAAATAAATAAATTGAAAAATAACTTTTTTACTTACAATAAATAAATCAAACACATAGTTTGAAATTTGTACTGCTCCTTTTCGTAGGTCATGGATGATTGGTGCAATCTCTATATAACTTTGGGTGGTTTTTAATTGACAACCACAAAAGATACAGATATGACCATGACCCTAAGGTAGGTTTCTTTGCTCACTAGAATGGATTCTTCAAACATTCCTTAGTATTCCTAGATGTTTACAACCTTAGTTCTGGCTCATGTTAAAATTGCTCCCAGAGCAGAAGAGAATGGAGAAGTTTTGCACCCAGGTTTTCATTTCAACTCTCAAAGCCATGGGTAATTTGAGGGGTATGTTTTGCCTATGTTGAATTTTCACCACTGAACATGAAATGGGATGGAAAGTGCAGCTCTGGGTTAGGAGCTCTGGCTTAGTTCCTAACTAGGTCAACGGTAGTTAGTGAGCAGTCGTTCTTCTGGTACAGTGAGGAGTAGAATCTTAGAAATAAAGATGTCCCTATTCTGAATACCTAGAGAACCACTGAGAGACATCTATATATAAGACATTTTCAGAAATCCTACTTCACTCTTGGTCTAGAAAATGGGATCAGGATATTAGAGAGCAATTTTCAAAGGTCAGGTCAGATGCTTTAGTGGCACAGTTATAGAGATCTCTGTTCTTAACCACTTCCTTTTAGACTATATTTTGCTCACAAGATAACAACTGGGATTCTAGACCTTATCAGAAAAGTGTGTTTCAGGAAGATGTTCACTTTTGATTGATGGAAGTGCCAAAATAAATAAGGCAACTTTACTCCATATTCAAAAAGCACTTAGAAACCAACAGTTCATATGACAATCAATTAGTGAGCAATAGACACCTTAGGCTTAGTACAACCTATGAAATCAAATGACTTTAATGTTTTATGTTTTGTATGAGCACATCACATTGCAAAAATTAAATATGCCACATTGCACTTTGTAATATCAATAATGAACAATAATATGAACGTTAGTGGGACAAGCCAACCTAGTTACTAAGACAGCCCAAAGTCCAGGTGAGCTTGTAAGACAAAGTTTCGTGGTTCACACCAGTTGATGGTTTCACCTGAAGACTGGGTTCTAAAGTCTGGTGACCTGAACTTGAATCTGATTCTCCTATTTTGTAGCTCTGTACTTTGGGCAATTGGTTAATCTCCCTAGGCCTCTGTTTCTTCATCTATTTGCAAGGCTGAAAATAGTTCTTCATGGAACTGGTAGGAAGATTAAATACAATATTATATAAAAAGCTCTCAGAACAGTATCTGGCAACTGTGATATCATATTATTATTCCTACAATCAGAAGCAGTGACATGTAGTGCTAAAAAGCATAGGCTTGGGCTTTGAAGCCAGACAGAACTACATTCAAATCTTGGCGCCATCACTTACCAGTGAAGAGACTTTGAGCAAGTTACTTAACCTATCTAAGTTTCCCTTTTCCACATGCCTGGTGAGAACAGTAATAACAACACCAACACCAACAACAATGACAACCACAACACCTACGTTTCATGGGAATTTTGAGAATTAACAAAATATAGAGGAGATTTTTACCAGTCATGCAATGGGCATTCAATAATATGAGCTTATATTTGTCTACTGACCATAAAAATATATTCTTCTGAATCACTGACAAGATGGAGGTAAAAATTGAACAAAGAATTTTGAAAATAATAGCTTAATTGACTCCTCCTTAAAAAAAAAACCTTGATAAAATCTTAGAACTAACCTTCTAACCCTAAGCAAAATTTAAAAATTCTCAAGATGATTCTTATTTACAGGTTCTTGGGGAAAAAAAATAGTTTTGGAGGGAGGGCAATATTTTTTAAAATTTCAATCCTAGATAATAGCCTATAATGAAGGATGTTATAATAAAAGGAAATAAGATAAGTTTTCCACACAGAAAGTTTTCTTGTCTGTCAAAAACAGTGAATCACATTTAATACCATGTGATTTTAATAGGCAGCGAATCCCAAGAACAATATGATCACACCCAACAAAGATGGTGCATTTTTGCTGAAGTGGCATTTTAAGGACAAGGATGAGAGGGGCAGTTGCTTCTAGTGGTAATTCAGAAGCTATCAATCCTGTCATCTGTATCTACTATCAAGTGAGGTAAAGATTAAAGATTATAATATAGTGACCACTATAATATTTAATATATATATATATATATATATATATGTATATTCTGTAAAATACGAGCTATAACAAATAAATTTTAAGGTTGCGTGCCTAGAGGGTGAAGTTCAGAAATGCAGACTTTATCTAATCTCTCTGAGCCAGAAAACAAAACAGTCAATCCTTTGTACATCCGCTAGAACAAAGGACAATGAGACTGGGAAGTGCCTGAGCTGCAAGAACCTGCCCTGGAAACAAACACTTAAAACCCCATTTAAACTGTGATAAAGCCCTTTGCTGGCAGGGGTCCACTATGGCTATGCATACTGTGAGAGTTAACTAGTTTTCAAACTTCTTTTTAATCTAAGCCCATTGGGAACTCTGCTGTATGAAAAAGTTTCCAATATTTTATTTAATACAAATTAGATACTTTTATTAGGGGTGTGATTTTCGTGTGTATGTGTGTGTGTGTGTGTGTGTGTGTGTACACGGAGAGATCATTGTAATGCTACTTGACAATTTAGTTATGTACCTATAATTTTCTGATCACACATAATTAGAAAACCACGCTTGCATAATTCATGTCGATAATTAGAGGTATCAATTGCACATATGCATGCATTTATAGCCTCTTGGGTTTTCCCACCCATATACATAGTAATAAATAAAGTATTACAAAATATGAGGACTGTCAAAAACCATAAGCCAATACTTTCATCTTGATCGATGTATCAAAATTCATCATTGACTATACATTTAAGACATCTCTTCTTGGCTCCAGACAGACCTGAACATGGAATGCCAAATGTAAAGTTCTGCAATATTTATCGGATAGACTTGAAGGAATCTCCCAGCATCAGGAAACCTTGGAATTTTGAAAGTAGGCTTGATGTTAACACAAATTTTTCTGTTCCCAAAGAAAAAGAAAAAGGTTGGAAAAATCCCTAAACCGAAATGAATCAATTTTACCTTTTTAAAAATGTGATTTAGAAAGAGGGAGAAAATTATATTTAAAATGCAAGTAATATTTACTTTCTACTTTTTTTTTTAACCACATCATGGTCATTAAAACATTAGTATTTGTTGGTACAAGAAGTTCAAGAAGTTTTAGAATTTGAAATGATTGGATCACTTTAGAAATAAATTTAAACTTATAATAATAAGAGTATAGTCAATCTATAGATTGACACAAAAACTTTTCTTGAAGGCACTATAGGCTCCACATTATCTGCATAGGAGCTCATGGCTTAAATCTGCTTTCTCAGTTAAAACAGGGTTTCAGAGACATTAAATGACTCACTCATGTTGTATAGATGCCAGGTACTATGGCTGAGCTTCTAATACCTAATGCAAATTGAGTGCTCTTTCTACCACACTTCAGCTGTCCTGGTGTGGTAAATGATGTCATGAATTGCGTATTCAGTGTAACAACAACAAAAGATATATAGATGTCTATGGAAAATGATAATAATTTTATAGCATTTTTCATTTGGTAATTTGGATACTGTAGCAGAGTAAAAAATGAATAACAGCAGTAATGTCAGCTCAATCTAATTCTGAAGCCATGAAAGTTCCCTTGAAATATTCTCTAAGCAATGTTTTTCTTG